TGTGTTGAGTTTTCCGGATTGCTTCTCTGAGCTTCAAGGACTAGATCAGTCAAGTTTAGATGCGTAGGAATGTAAGAGACTTCTCCTTCTTTGACTGCAATGGGGAGCTCTGGAATCAAGGATGGACTGTGTTGTTGAAGAACCACTTCCATCTTGCGATTTCCAGAATTTGTGGTAAGAAGTCTGAATAGTTTGTGTGCTTCCTTCTGATTGTCAATGATTACCTTCAAGTAGTCTTTGGTTACTACTTGATTTGCTGAAGACACTGCCAGAGCTGCTCTGATGTCCATTTGGAGAATGGACATTTGTTTTTGTAGACTGATTGTGACATTTGCTACTTGCTCTTTGATGTTGTTAGCCTCCTTAAGTTGAAGATAACTATCAGATGCATATGTCTCCATCGTGTTGCTCACAGTGTTACTGAATAGAGATAAGATCTCTAGAGTCTTATCCACTGATTTGCTTATCTCCTTGAGATTGGTGCAATGTGTTTCTTCGGATTTCTCAATCAGTTTGTTTTGCCTGGCTTCCATCTGCTCTATCTCTTGCCTAAAGGAGGCATGTTGAGATGCTAGGGCTGAGTCAATCAGCCCTTGGACCTTCTTTGTCCAGATTTCCGGTACCTCATCCGGAAGAGTAGGAATGGAAGGGCTATGGAAATGGAAATTGTTTACCTGATGAGAAGAGAGAGTTCTTTGGAAGAGTTGCATAGGAAGAGATTCAGCATCATCTTGTACATCTTCTTCATCATTGATCTTCAGGGTTCTTTCAGATTCTTCTTCTGCTTCCCCAAGTGTGAAGTTTGATATATCCCGAGAGAGGGAGTCTCTTTTTTCTGCTTCATTCTGTTCTTCAAAAATGGCTACTGGATATTTGGAGGCCTCCAGTTCTGCCATTTGAGTTTCCTTCTCAGCTTCTGCAAAACTTCTTTGGGCTTCTACAGCTTGCTCTTCTTGAGCTTCATTTGTTTCTAGAGTTTTGGACATCTCCAGATTTTCTGTTGACTCCTCCGGGATTTCTGCTTCAGTAGGATTGGTGATCTCACAAGGATTTGTGAGAATATCTAAAGCTTCAGAACGGAGAAGTTGCTGGAATTCTTCATTTGATCCTTCCTGGTTCTGTTTTGGTGTAGAGACTTCAGCTTCAGGTGGAATAGTTTCAAAGGCAGATGAGGCTTCCAGAAATATTTGGAAATCCTCAGATGTTGTTTCCAAGTTAGCTTGTGCTTCAGAAGTGAGAACCACCTGATCTTCTGTGGTTTTTGAGAGGACTGGTTTGTATACTGCAGGATCCTCATCATCCACCTCAAACTCTGAAATTGGTGAGGTGACCAAGTGTTCCAGATGCAAATCTTCATAGTTCCTTTGCCATACCCAGTCAACATCCAGGATTTGCTCACAGCAATAGTTGACTCGCAGACCTAAGCATTTCTTGATGATCTTCTCATTCTTTAATTGCTGGTCCCAACTCAGCAACTGTTCTGCTAAATTTCCAACTTTCCAAGCTCTCCAGTCATAGTAGAGCTGCCAGAATTGATTCTCAGCATCATCTACTTGAGGTTGTGAGGAAGTTGGAGAATTCTGAACTTGAGGAATTTCTTCTTCAAGTTGTTGAGGATTCCGGTTGTGAGCAGAGGTTTCCTAAGTTGGTTCCTTCTCCTTCAACTCATCCGGATTGACATGTCCAGATGTTGAGGGAGAGGTGATCTTCCTCTTCTTTTTCCTTTGTAGTTTTCCTTGGTCAGAGATTTCTTCTTCTTCTTCAAGATTGATTGGAGCAAGATTCTGTGGTACTTCAGCACTGGGAGAGGGAGACACCACTTGCTTCCTCTTTACTGATTTGTTCAGACTCATGATAAGGACATTGTCTGAAGAACTTTCCTCTGCAGTTGTGCTAGCACCAGCTCTGTTTTCCCCTTTGGAAGACAAATAGTATAGCCAATATCTGGCTTCATACTTCTTTCCTTCAGAAGCAGCACCCAAGGACTCCAAGATATGTCCAATGTACAGACCTTGACAAAGGTATTTCTGGTTGGGTTTTCCCAGGTGCTTTGAGATAGAATTGAAGAAATGAGCAGCCCAATTTACCTTAGACTTGGTAATGAGGGCATTGATGATGAAGGCCCTCTCTTGGGTGATGTCATCAGCATGTCCTCCACTTCCACATTCGAGGCATGCAATAACCAGTTCAAGGACTAGCTTGTAGTCGTTGTTCAGATGAGCTTTCTTCGCTGGGCTAGAGGGATTTTGCCCAGAAATTCCAATAATGCTCCAATCCAAATTTTTGGCTGGAAGTCTCCCAATTTCAACTCCAGAATTGGGAAGGTGAAGCTTTTCTCCCAATTTCTTCTGCGAAAGCTTCACTTTTGTCCCTCCAACAGTGGAATTGATGACTTGAATCGTCCTTTGTGGGTCCTTCTTCGATTTGACAATCTTGACCTTTCCATTTTTATAGAATTCAAGAACTTCGTTCTCATACTTGAATCGAATCTCCATATGAAGAAATTCGGAGAGCTCTTGAGCAGCAATCATCTCCAGATAGGATTGATAGAACATTGATGAGGAGCACTTGGCTTCCAACTTCTGGAAATGGATATTAGCGCCAACAATCTTCATTTTCTCTGAAATTTGAGAAGATCCGAAGAAATTAGGGTTCTTGAGAATTTTATCAGAAGATTCTCGTGAAGAAGACGATGAAAGATTTGAGTGGGCTAAGTGGGCATATGAGGTCCGATTATAGTGACGATTGGGTTTAATGTGGGCGATTTATGCGGCTAGTGGCGATTGGGTTTTTAACTGTTCCCAAGGCCACGTCCCCACCCACCATTTTGACAGACGTGGAAAATGAACTGCCACGTGTACCACACTCAGTCTAATTGAATTAGACCAATTTTGTGAAGCAAATCGGAAAACTTGGCTTCACTTAGTGGTTTGGTGAAGATATCCGCGGTTGTTCTTCAGTTGAGATATACTCAATTTTGATATCTTTCTTTTCCACATGATCTCTGATGAAGTGATGCTTGACATCAATGTGCTTGGTGCGAGAATGATGCACTGGATTTTGTGAGATGGCTATAGCACTTTGATTGTCACAAAAGATTGTCACTTCCTTTGTCTTGACTCCATAGTCCAGTAGTTGTTGCTTCAGCCACAGAATTTGAGCACAACAACTACCAGCAGCAATGTACTCTGCTTCTGCTGTAGATGTAGAAATGGAGTTTTGTTTCTTACTGAACCAAGAAACAAGATTTCCACCAATGAATTGACAAGTACCAGATGTACTTTTCCGGTCAACTTTGCATCCGGCAAAGTCAGAATCT